GACTTGACCAACATGTCATCGACATCGACTTTCATTGATTTCCCTATCTGCTTAGAAAACATAAGGTTAACCAAAACCTTATAGTTTGCCCCAACGTTTTTCAGACCAAAGAGCATGACTTTATAATAGTACAACCCTCAATCTGTGATGAAAGAGGTATGCTCCTCATTGGGTGCGTACATTGAGATCCGATTATACCCCGAGTAGGCATCCATAAAGCTTAACAACTCATACCCAGAAGTGGCATCAACGAGTTGGTCGATTATGGGCTAAAGGAAACTGTCATTCAGACAAACTTTGTTGAGATTAGTGAAATCAACACAAGTTCACTATTTGCCATTGGGTTTCATTACCAAAACAAGATTGGCAACCCAACTTGGGTAAAAAGCCTCACAAATGAACCTGATTGAGAGGAGCTTATCCACCTCAACCTTAAGAGCAACATAACGCTCTAGTCTAAGGTTCTCCTTTTCTAGTGAACTAGCCTGATCTCATTGTTGATGTTGAGTGCATGACATATTATATTCGGGCTGTTCCCGACCATGTCAGTAAGAGTCCATGCAAAAATATCAATATTTTGTCTAAAGAAGCTCGTCAGATCTGTAGCGAGTTGAGGGTTGAGATTACTTTCGATTCTCAATACATAGGTCGGCTTGCTCTGGTTGATTGGTACCTCAGATAGAGTCTCAACAGGCCCACTGTGGGAATACTCCTCCTGAACTCGAGAATCTATGTTGTCTTCCACTAGACCTAGCTGTGGTTCGATCCTGCTGATCGCTATAGCCTGTTCGGTAATGCCCACTGACTTCCCTTTCCCTTTGCATGCCATTTGCACTACTCTTACATTGTTGTTGCTAGATTCACTTTGAGAACCCTTAACTTCCCCGCACCCTATCAGTGTGGAAAATTTTATATTCAGATGATAGATGGAGGTGACAGCTTTGAAGTTCCGAAGTAGAGGTTGTCCCAATATGCCATTAAAAGCAGACATGCAGTCTACTACCAAAAACTCTGTTATCTTAGTCACTTTGTAGGTCTCACCCAAAGTGACAGGAAGTGTAATTGTTCCCTTGGGAATCAGATGATCCCTTGTAAAACCATAGAGGGGGATAGAGGCAGGCTTCAGATCTGCCTCGTCCAATTGCATTTCCTCGAATGCTCGTTGAAATAGAATATTCACGACACTACCATTATCCACCAACATCCTATGGACTTCACACCAATCTATTTTAGGCACAATGACAAGTGCATCCTTATGGGAGTGATGCAATCGTATCGCGTTTTTTCTGAGAAAGTAATCTCTTTCTCTCTGTGCACCTTTGCAGGTCGCGACACCGTGCTTATCACACTTACGGGGTCATGGCGAGCTTCTCGAGCGTACTTCTCCTGAGCAGTTCGAGAATTTCTCAGAAGGTGCGACCCTCTAAATATAGTTCCAAGAAGATGGAGGCCCTTGCGAGTTGCAACCACGATTCTTCTTCCTCTACTCCCTTTGATCCTTCTCCCAAGTGGGAGTTGGATCATTAACATACTCTTTGAAGTGCCCCTTTTAATGAGGTCTTTAATCGATATGGTGCCCATTGTCTCTATGATAACGACAATACTTCTTGTTGTTTCTAGCTGAAGAGGGATTATTCATGGGCACTAGCTCTCTAAGCATATTAGCTTCTTCTGATTTATCTAGAATAGCTAATACCGATGCATTCAGCGGAATATACAAATTCTTGTCACGATTACAACAAGGGACTTGGGCATAAGACTGCTTGGGCTCAAATCGCTACTTCTTTCCCTTTCTCTGTTCATCATTAGCCAATTTGTGATCAAGCTTTCTACTACCCTCCCCCTGATTTTTGTCCCAATGACTAGGAGCACTAGTCGAAGGACCAAGGTCGTGGTGGTTTAAGGCGGCTACTGAATTTTTAATCCTAAGATATTTCTCAGTGAGATTGTAGAAACGGGTGGGGGAAATATCATCCTCAAATTACAACTTTTTTCACAGGTTGGTTTGTGGGCGAACTCCCGCAATAATAAGAGTCTGAACTAAATCTTCGGGTGTATTAGCCACCTTATTCAACTCCTTGTGGAACTTGTCAATATAGGACTGGAGGGACTCATTCCTCTTCTAGCGTATGTTGCTTAGATAGCTCAACGGCAATGATAACTTTTTGTTATCCTGGAAGTGTCTCAGAAATAACAAACTCATCTGCTGCCACGAATTAATAGATCCTGGCAAAAACGATTTAAACTAGCGTTTGACGTGGGTAGTCAAAGTCATTGTTAAGCAGCAACATTTAGCCAAGTTGGAAACTTGGTGAAGCTTTATGAGGTCATTGAACTCATAGAGATGATCCTGTAGATCGAAATTCCCATCGAATGCTCACATGTCGGGCATTCTAAATTTTGATGGGAGAGGAGTAGTCAATGTTGCTGAAAAAAAGGGAGATGCCTTAGTGACCTGCCCTCACTCATTTTGCTGAGCTCTAATTTGATCTAGAACTTGCTGTAATTCCTTAATCTGAGGAAACGGAGCTATCCGAGGATCACTTTCCACAACGTGGGTTCGCCCCTCATGATTACGGTTGAGGAAAGACTACAGGTTGGACTTTTCCTCACCTTGGCTGGATCCTCCGGCATACCTTGACACATGTTGGCTGGAGCCATGCGAAGGCACCGAATGACCAAGGGAGCTATCCTAACCTCCGCGGTGGTTAGAACTGACGCGAATGGTGGGCATTTCCCTAACGGTGATGTTCACGCTGACGATAATGGGAATCTCCCTGCCTTGAACTCTTGTGGGGTTGCCCATGCGATGTGGCGTGGGACGGCTAATGATGCGACATACCGCCAAGTTGCAAAGTCACAGGTATTCTACCCGCTTCATGACCGGTATTCATTGGTCCCTTGGAGCCCTTTGGCCGGCCACCTGTTTCCCCTTATCTTTACGCATTATAGTGTGTGCGACATGAGCTTTCGTCGATTTTTGCGCTTCAGTGCGACCTACAGGTGTCTTGGAGGTGGTACCGCTTTATCAAAATTAGGCGGTACTACTTGATCTAGACGATCTAGCCTTTGGTTGACCATTTGGAGATTATTGTTAAACCTCTCTAGCTATTCATCACAGTTGGGTTAAGCTGTGAGCTTGAGGAAATATCCACCATAGTACCCTGTGGAATTGGAGGTACTTCATGAGAAATAATATCCTGTACTTGGGGGATCTCTTCCTTGCTGGTGCTAGCTCGCTCGGCTTCAAGACCACGAGCCATTTGTTCGTGAATAGAAATTATTGATCATAGATTTATGATGAAGAGCAGATACTAAATTAGGCCATCTTTCTAGCGCTAAACTGTTGATTCTTGATTTTGACACCAATGACTCGCACGTGCAAAGTGCTACACAACTCTTAAAAATTATACGTGAATAATTATGATAATCTAATGCAAAGATGAATAATAAATGGGAGATGATTTTTAAAGTGGTTCGGATGCTTAAAACAAATCCTACCTCCATTGCTATTTTATATATGAGAGATTGAAGTGGTTCAGATGACTTTTTAGGCATAACACCACTAGTTATTCTATTGTTGTTCTTTAAATTTTATGGAATGTGGTACTTGAATCTCTGGAATATATTTGCAAACATATAATTTTAAAATGGGTATCTTCCAGATTTGAAAATTATATGAACACCATTTTGGTTGGTTTTTTTATTTTATTTAAATTTGTAAGTATGAACACCATTGTAATACATTAAAGTGAAGCACCAAGAAATAAAAAGTGGGGGCGGGCATGTTGGTTGACCAAATTCCGCATGAGGAATGAGAAGGCCACACCACCACATGCTTCATGCTTTTGACTGCCTTTGACTCATCAATTTTAACCACTCATCTTTTTGACTACTAATTTATCATTTTTAGACCTAACTCATTACTCATTCACACTTGCTTATCCCCAAAGAGAAGAAAATTTTGAGTTATATGGGTTTTCTCATTGATCAATCGGATATGATTTATATATACAAAATTTTACCCAAGTTAAGTTGGATCAAATTTGACTACATGCATGGTAACTAGAGTCCAAATATCAAGTCGAATCTTCATTTGTAAATCTCTATCAATTTCTTAAGTCATTTTCAAGATAGTAAAAAAATGTAATTTTTATTGTTTTTCTTGTGAAATATTCAACAAGAACTCCAAAATCTACCCTTACCCACTATGCTGTCTTTTGACCTCATTATTTAAATACAATATGCATATTTTTAAGCTTAAAAATTTGACCACCATAAATTTTAATCCTGAGGAAGAAGACCGTAGAAACTATAAAACCTATTTGACTATTAAAAGTTGAGTTAGGTTGATTAATATAGAGCAAAATTTCAATTTATTTTATTATGTAAACTGATTCTACAGATAAATTAAGTTATTGAGAGGCTGAGGCTGATATCTTTCAGAATCTTTATTACATAATGTGATTGCAACAAATGGTCCCTCACCATCAACAAGAATTAATGAGACGTGGGGCCAAAAATTATATTCTGATTATATATTAAATCTCTATGAATGAATTTGATTTATTTTCACTCAATGATAGAGAAGAGAACCATTTAGTTGACAAACTTACCCTACAGGGTCAGTAATTCACTAATTAGGAAATTAGCTCATAATTGTTTGAAATATATGTATATTAATTTCTATTGTTCTTATCTTGGGCCGACATGATAATGTTTATTTTAATAAATTTCTGATGAAAGATTTAACACCTTTTTTGTTTGACTTGTGTGTCTTAAAAGACAAAAAAATTTCATGTACAAGAAGTGTTCACTTACAAAGTTGAAAGATATCTATCTTCATCTTGCCTAACTTAAGTAGATGAAAATGGTGTCCAAAGTGAACTTGAGTATCACCACTCAGAGAGAGAGAGAATGTAATAATTGCAAACCTTCTTTAAATTTTTAATCTTTTAACTTTTTTTTTTTTTTTTAACTAAAAATAAAAAAGAGACCAATAAAGATTGGTTAGAGAAAACAAAACAGAAAGACAGAACCTTCTCTTTAGATTTTTGCTGTTAGAAAAAAATTAAAAACTGCTTCACTTCTTCAGCAGCCAGCTCAAACTCATTAAACTCTGATTCCTATTATTCTAATCCCATTTAAAATGAAAACCCCTTTTCTTTCTGCTCCAATCTGACTCCTTTGAAAAAGGTACTCCTTTTACGTTTTTCAATTCTTTGATATTTTTTCTTCTCATTTCGATTTGTTATTCAGCAATTCTTGTTCAAGCTATGATCTTGTTTCTGGGATTTCTTTGGTTTCGATTTTTGTTTGTAAAATTCTAAGCTTTATCTGGGTTTATGTGAAAATGTTGAAAAAAATTGAAATTTTGAATTTTGGTCAATACCCAATAAAGCAAATTCAAAAAATTTCTTGGTATTTTCTCAGCTACCAAACGTAGAGGAGTGGTTCACGTTCTTTTTATTATTTCAAGAATTGTGTTGTGTGTGTTCGTGTGTAATGTTTAATTTTTGTGTTTTCAAAGGTTACAGCTCTGAGGACCTATTTGTTTTTACATGTCCATGTTTATGTATGTATCCATGGCTCATAATAACTGATATTGCACGGACCATTCCTAATTTTGTTGAGATAATTTTTAATGGCAATTTTCAGTATTCTTGGAGTGGTCAATTTCAATGTTGAAAAACAAAGTTAGAAAAACATGGTTTTATGCTAGGATTTGGGTCAAATACGCTTAGCAATTACCCTAATCATTGATTTAGAGAATTTTCTTAAGGTTTCCTTGTAACCGTAATCTGATTGACCAAGGGTATATGATTATCTGTACGTCCCAAAATGGTATACAAATCACTAAACATTGTCTAACTCTTGTTGCTGAGTCAAGAGTGTAAAAGAACACCTTCATGAATTAGGACAGTGGCTAATGCTACCATTCAGATGCTGTTCATTCACATTCTTGACTAATTAATAACTAAGTAACATGTGCTTATACGCACAAGGCCAAACATTCATGTGTCCAGAGGCATGTGCTGCTTGACTTTTCATGTTTTGTGATTTACACAATTGTGCGTGAAATATTAGTCTCTTTTTTTCTTTAAACTTTATCATTGTGCATTTTACATATAGATTCTGAAGTTGATACTATGATGTTTCCGTTGAAATGGATCTCACTCAGGTTTTTGCTGCAGATCACGTGCTTTGCTGTATTGCTCAAGGGTTGATATTGTTGAAGATGGAACTGGTCTTTGCCGTTCTAATATGGGCTTGCTTGCATTCGACTGTACAATCTGATTATCAAGGTATGATACATTCCTTATTTGATATATGTACGCAGCCTATAGATATGCTAATTGAGCGTTCCCAATTGGTTGTCTCTGTTGTAAATTAGACAAACTTCTGATTATAGGGTAATCTGGAAATGAACTGTCCAGTTTATAATAGTCATCTGGAGTCAAAGTTTGTTGCAAACTAATTGTAGCCAAGCTAAGCAGAGCTAAATTTCTATCATTTACTTCTTTGGTTGTTAAGCTAAAAGTTATTCTATTAGTTTAGTGAACTCTATAGCAATGAGTAATTTGGAACAGTGGAAGAACTTCTGTTGTATTAGATTGAATGGAAACATAAAAAAAGAAACCAGTTCAGATGCAAAGAGAGAGATGGCTTTCAGGTAATAAAGTCAAATTGAAATGTTGATTAAGGTAAATCTTTGCTGATTCAGTAGGCAGTTATCAGTTCCTAGTGAGATGAGATTTTGATTGATCATTTTCTTTTATGTTTGATTTTATTAGGCTTGTGAAAATTTTTGGTACTTATATATTGTTGTTGGGTTAGCTGTTCATTTGGTGGTGAATATTCCTATATTCTGTTTCAGGAGATGCACTATACGCTTTGAAGAATTCATTGCATGTTCCAAGCACTCTGCTGACTGATTGGAATCAAAACCAAGTTAATCCATGCACTTGGTCCAATGTCATCTGTGATAATAGTAACAATGTTGTCTCTGTGTGAGTTATTCTTAGATTAAGTTTGAACTTCCTTTTTTTTTATTATTTTTTTTTCAATTATAGTGCTTAGATAGCACACTATGCCAGCATAAATTACTTGTTTGTAGATGTACTTTAGTTGCATTCTTGTATCTTATATGAAAGTATGCTAATACCTTTTACTCTTTTGCAGGACATTGTCAACCATGAACTTTTCTGGAACTTTGTCACCCAGAATAGGAGTTCTAAAGAATCTAAAAACACTGTATGTATGGAGTGTATGGGAGTAATCAATATAATTTGTTACAGTATTTTATATACCTTTTTAATCTATTTTCCTGAGGTGACTATTCTCAGTTTCTAAATAATGAATTCTAGGGGTACTTATCAGCAGTGGTGAAAACTCTTTATCCATATTGCCTATGCAGTCCTTATGGAGTTTAATAATGATCTTGGCATTCCTTTTTTCTCCTCTCCATTTTATCTACTCTCGGGATGACTTGCATAATTCCATTGGGTTCAGAACACATGCACAGCAGTCTGGTATTTTATTTGGATAAGGGAAACCTAGGATCTCTAATTGAGCCATTTGAGTCATAAACACTAATCTTCTGTGTGTTTGGTTATTGATTTTGCCATTATGATTTGCCTTAGGTTTAAAATAAAGTTCCAAGACTAATTGTTTTTGCATGAATTAAGGAAGACGTTCACTTTTGAGCTGCATGAATTTATAGGCTTACATTTCTTTATTGGAGGCATTATTTCAATTTGAACCAAGGAAAAAAAAAAAAAAAAAAAAAAAAGATCTTCTGACTTCTGGATTTTTTATTTCGTTGATCCATGCACTTGGTCCAATGTAATCTGTGATACTAGTAACTCTCTCTCTCTCTCTCTTCCCATCACATGGATACAGAACATTACTAATTACAACAATGAGATGTAACTTGCCAGCTTTTACTTAGTTCATAGTTGATTTATAAGATTGTAATGGTCATTGACTTGTTCCAGTATATGGATATGTATACATGCAAGATGTTTCTAATATATATAAGATGCACTTTTCATGCAGTACGTTGAAAGGAAATGGCATAAATGGTGAAATACCTGAAGAGTTTGGAAATCTTTCAAATTTAAACAGCCTGGACTTGGAAAATAATCATTTAACTGGTCAAATACCATCTTCACTTGGTAATCTAAAAAAGCTTCAGTTCTTGTAAGTTATTCCATCAATAATTTTTTTTTTTCCTTCAGTTGTATTATATATCTATATGTTTTTCATATATTTCTGATAAAACCTTGCTATGTTTTTGACATGTAATCAGAACTTTGAGTCAAAACAACCTAAATGGCACTATCCCTGAGTCACTTACAGGTCTTTCAAACTTGATCAATATGTAAGTGGTTCTAGAAACTAACTGATGCCCGAATGAAGTATAAATAAGTTCCTTCTCTTCCCCCACATTTCTGGATCTTGGAGTTACTTTATGTGGGCTTGTGTTTGTCAACATCTTTTTAAGTTTTTGATTGCATAGTTGAACTTCTTTTTGCAGTCAGCTTGATTCCAATAATCTCAGCGGCCAAATTCCTGCACGTTTATTCCAAATTCCTAAGTACAAGTATGGACAACACCTACTTGTATTATTTCAATGCCGAATGACTCAGTCATAATCTAAGATGCTGTGAACTTTTCACTTATTTGATATGCTTGTATTTAGTCTTTCTACCTCACTCTTTTTCATCAGCACTAAACTTGATTGTGCTGGCTTATATTAGTTTCACAGGAAACCATTTGAATTGTGATAAAAATCTTCCCCACCCTTGTGAATCTAGGAGTAATGATTCAGGTAATTTTTTTTTATGTTAGTTTGCTTCATAATGAGGGAGATGTTTTCTTAAAATAGAGCTGTTAAATTTTGTTGGACCAGCTAATTGCTTAAGGTAATTCCCAATTCTGACAGGCGGTTCGAAGAAGCCAACTATCGGAATTATAGTTGGGATTATTGGAGGATTTCTTGTTCTTCTTTCTGGAGTCCTTCTGTTTTTCTGGTGCAAGGCTAAACATAAAGGCTACAGGCGTGAAGTATTTGTAGATGTTGCAGGTTTGTGTTAATTTTCAGTTTACCAGAGACTAATTACTTTTAGATGTTATTTTATTTCATATATATATTATTCTATGGTTTCTCTTTTCAGTATTTAGCTTAAATTTTTGGAGCATATATGCATGGTTCAAACAATGTTCTCATTAGGATGGTGATGAACAATGAAGTGCAATATTTATACACATTATTCTGTATAAAAATTTGTATGAATAATTTGTAAGTGTAGCATTATTCATTTTAGTTTGTGGTTATGAAATGTTGTGGGAGAATTTCAAAATTGTGAACTTCAACCACATGATTTAGTTTGCCACTCATGACTTCATGGATGCTTGCTTTGTAAAAGCTCTCTCTGGTATCCATTTTGTTCTACTCGTCGGGTAGCTCACCTGTTTTATCCTGTATTACAAGTTGTGTACCATCTTCGAATTTTAGAACTGAAGTATTTAAATTTGCATTTTCTTTTAATGTAGTTTCTCAGTTGAAGCTGTCTTTTTTATTGTGTGACCAGGTGAAGTCGACCGAAGAATTGCATTTGGTCAATTGAAAAGATACTCGTGGAGGGAATTGCAGTTGGCTACCGAAAATTTCAATGAAAAAAATGTCCTTGGACAGGGAGGTTTTGGAAAGGTTTATAGAGGGGTCCTTGCTGATAACACAAAAGTTGCTGTGAAGCGATTAACTGATTTTGAGAGTCCTGGGGGAGATGCAGCTTTCCAACGTGAAGTTGAGATGATAAGTGTGGCTGTCCACAGAAATCTATTACGGCTGATTGGCTTTTGCACAACACCAACAGAACGTCTTTTGGTGTACCCATTTATGCAAAATTTGAGTGTGGCCTATCGTCTACGAGGTATTTATATCTATGCAATTTCATATAAATCGAAGCTGCTAAGTGCAATGTAATTGTTTACCTTTTTTCCTCAGATATTATTTTCTAATATGAGTCTTAATAAGGTAATAAATGCACAAGTGAAAATTTTGTGTATTGGCATCAGAGAGTGGTGCCTTTCGAAATTGTTCATCTGTTCTCAGTATAATCATGTTTTGTTTCAGAATATACCATCAGAAATACAAAGCCTGAGACCAAAGTAAATTTAGAAGGCCACGGGTTTCCTTCTCAAAAAAATTTACATGCGATATCATTACCACTGGACACATACAATGGAAATTATGCTTGTATCTTTATTGTTAGGGGCATTGTAGATTATAGGGAAGATAAAGTATTTGAACGGTGTGAATCCAAATTTTTTTGCATCTTTGTGGTCATAGTCCTAGTCCAAGTTCTAATCTGTCAAGCACAAGGATTACCTGACTCCAGTGGAGATCTGAATAGAATCTGTTCATTTACTTGATTTAGCCTGAAGTATTGTTGAATTTTTAGTAATACAAGTCAAATGATGGACTATGCGTATTTAATCTTAAGTTCTGCTGTAGGCCTACCACTTTACCATGTAAAATTTTATAGGGAACTTATAAAATTTCTTGGGTTGTAATTCTTGTACCAATTTATGCATACGATAATTTCTAGAGGCTGCTCTGATGATGTTTGACTAATTTTTAAGCATTATTGCAGAAATTAAACCTGGGGAACCTGTTTTAGACTGGGCTACAAGAAAAAGAATTGCCTTAGGTGCAGCACGTGGGCTGGAATACCTACACGAACATTGCAATCCTAAGATCATTCATCGGGATGTGAAGGCGGCTAATGTATTGCTGGATGAAGACTTTGAAGCAGTTGTTGGTGACTTTGGCCTTGCCAAATTGGTTGATGTGAGAAAGACTAATGTGACGACTCAAGTTCGTGGGACGATGGGCCACATAGCACCTGAATACTTGTCCACTGGGAAATCATCCGAAAGAACAGATGTTTTTGGGTATGGGATTATGCTCCTGGAGCTTGTAACAGGTCAACGTGCAATTGACTTTTCTCGCCTAGAAGAAGAAGATGATGTCTTACTGCTTGACCATGTAAGACACAAAATGTTGTACTATCTTCATTTGTTTGTCTGCATTTATCCTCTCTCCTTGCCTCATAATGGTTGACTTGTTTATATATAACTTACAAATTAAACAATTAAATTTAATCTCTCAATAATTTGGAGCAGTTGGCACAGCTTTAGATGTTAAACATCTTTGCTAGCTTGAGCCCAAAATGCAATTGTTTCAACAGATGTATAGTGCTCTACTTTCTTGAAGATGTTTCTTACAAACTTGTGTAACTAGTTGTACTTGTACATCAGTATTTTTTCTTGCTACATGGAATTCCCAACTTAAGTGTTTTTTGTTGGAGCAAATGCCTTTTTCACTTCTTTTGGGAGGAACTTTGGCCATAAAATATTCAAGTGGCATTTTTTTTTCTCTTGGTGTTTTAAGAAATCTTGTGAGGAGAAAATGCTTCCAGCATGTTTTCAAGTCATCTCATATGTGCTTTGTTGTGCCAAAGTTGATGTTGTTCAAATTTAGTGTTGATATGAAAACAATCTTTAACTTGTATGAGGAACTTTACATGCATCCTCATGCTGGAATTCAGTTAAATTGGGCTTCATTTGTAATGTTGTTGCTACATCAAAGTCTCATGATGTTGGAGTGTAGATGTACATCTTCTTCTCATTTTCAGTTTTAAGTTAAATTGTTCTTGGAAAAGATGAAATTTATTTGAAATTTGACAGCATTTCACTTATGAAAATTTTCATTTGATGCATAAAAGATTGAAGCTAGATAATTCGATTGGCTTATAATTTTCAAGTTTTATACTAATCAGTTCTGATGATTGCATCAATCTGTGTTAATTTGTCTCCAAAAGGTCAAGAAGCTCGAGAGAGAAAAGAGACTGGATGCTATTGTAGATCACAACCTTCATAAAAGTTACAACATCCAAGAGGTGGAGATAATGATTCAAGTTGCGTTGCTCTGTACACAAGCATCACCTGAGGACCGTCCAGCAATGTCAGAGGTTGTACGCATGCTGGAAGGAGAGGGGCTGGCTGAGAGATGGGAAGAGTGGCAGCACGTTGAAGTTACTCGTAGGCAAGAGTACGAGAGGCTGCAAAGAAGATTTGACTGGGGGGAAGATTCCATACACAACCAGGAAGCAATTGAATTATCAGGTGGAAGATGAGGTAACGGATTTGATTTGGTGTGACAAGCATTTAACTGTGTTACATTAGGCTAGCTTGATGTTTCCTTCAGCTGATATAATTCTAATGCCAAAAGTAATGGCGTGGAAAGAAAGGGGCAAAAAAAGGAAACATGCCTTCATATTTTTGTATATCATATGTTCGTAGTAGCTCTTCCCTTTTGTTCCTTGTGTAATTTAAGTTTTGGTTAAATTTTGCAGCCATGAGCCAACTAAACGTAAGGAAAGAGCTCTTATTCTGTATAAGGAAGTTTTTTTAAGTGATATTGGAGATCTGCTGGGTTGACACCAGTCTGATATTTTTAGCTTGTGCTCTTCACAAGGACATAAGAAAGACAAATTCTGGTTTTCAATCATGTTTAAATTATGCAGAAAGGCTACCGTTTTGTTATGTGTCTATGCCTATGATACTAATGGATGCAACTGCTTTAACCTGCCATTCTTCCATTTGCTGCATCTCCTTGACATCATCTTTACATGGGATTTGCTCTGCCAAAAGATACTCTGGTGTCTTCTCCATGTCTCTACACTCCATTTCTACAAGGTTGATGCCAAACTTGATACAATCAACCACTGCCATTGCTAGAGCTTCTATTGACATGGCTTCTTTGGCTCGAAATCTGACCTTAAGAACTTGCACAATGCTTTTTAGCAGCATTCATGCCTAGGCTCTTCTCCATGGAGATCAAATCAAGTCACTAGTATGCTTATATATATGTGTTCCAAGCCTTCTATCTTGTGATGAAGGTCACAGATGGCACATGAACAAGGTTACATATTGTTATATCTTTCTGTGACTTGGGCCAATTGTACTTCACTTTCACTTTTTCATGCACTTTTACTAAATCACAATCAAAGATAATTGATTAACTAATAAAAGTTGTTAGGGGGTAGTTGGCCGGTAAAAAAACCAATGGGTATGCAATGAATGTGTACTTACTAGTAATTAATTATATCTAAGTTTTAAAGCCCAGCTTGGTCATGTGAATGCTTTCATCATAAGTTCTTAGTTTTTGTATAACTTTTAGATTTGGAAAATGTATACACATGAATGCATGTGATATATGGGTGAGATAACTTATAATTCAGTGTAGTAATTGAACTAGATTTTGATAATTAGTAAAAGTGTTTTAAAGGAGACAACCAAAAGCCTTTAGAAAGCAAAAAGTGTTACTAGAAAGATGCTTGTCTACTTAACATAAAAGAGAAATGTTTTCCTTTTCTCTCAACAAAAGTGAGGATTTCATGTGCAAAGTTTACTGAATTTCTCAAATGGAAATAGAAGTTAGGCTGTTATCATCAAATTATGATCAATAATATGTCACTAGACAGATATAATGTACTTTCTAGTTGGATCAAATTATGTAGTGTTAGAAGAGAAAAATCATAGTCTTATAATATGATCCAATCATATTCATAATTTATGTGAAACCCTCTTAAAAATGAACATCACCATGATGAATAAGTTTAAATACTGTCATATCCAAAACAATGCATGACAAGATTTTTAATTGGACGGAGGTGAGAGAATGTCCTAAGTAAGTATTCATAGTTCTGCCAGGGCTGAAGGTTAACAGATTATACAAGAGCAGAAAATAAGATGAAATTGAGATAAGTTTTTCTATTAACAACATTCAATTTGAAAGAAACATTATAACGCTAATATAATGCTATAACAATTCCTCCATAAAGAACACATTGCAACTCAGATTATAAGGTTAGGCATTGGCAAAACACATTTTTCTTTTGAAATTGAAGTTTTGTCTTTGTCTGAGTCACTGAGGCTGCAGCTTTAGCCCATTCACGCATCTTTTCTTTCAACCATTGCTCATTAACCACTAACACCTCACTTCTCTTCTGCTCATTCTTAGTGCTTAACCTTTGCTCAGCCAGCAGATATGCAGGAATCTGTTCCAGGCCACCATGTTCCCATGCTTCTACATCAATGCCACACTCAACATAGTCAACGCCTGCCATTGCAAGAGCTTCGATAGACATTTTTTCTAAGGCAGCACACTCACAAATTTCTACTCTAAAGAATGTATCAATGAAGAGAAATCTTTGGTGATTTTTATGACAGTATGATGGAGTGTATTTATATGCAGTAAATTCGTGTGAGAAACCACTGTTTAGAGGATTTCTTGTGTGCTATCAACATTTAGTTAGAGGAAGATACACGGGTATCACATGGACAACGTTTTACTTCATTGTACCCGTGATCTCTTAACGGGCCTTAACTGAAGTTGCTTACTAGTATTGGAAGATATAATTTGACAGATTAACCCCAAAACTTTTGCTAATATGTCTAGGCAATAACTTGCACACCAATTTGGAGATTATTGTCTAAAAGGGTATTGTCTAAATAAGCAACAAAAGCAGTTTATCCACAGTGCTTAACATGTCAACCACAATACTGGAACTGACTTCTATCTGTGCTTCTTCTTTACGTCATTGAATTCGTCAAGAACTTGTCAGCAATGAGCAATGCTGTTAAAATCTTGAATTTCCCGTGGTAGAAACTTCCTTATAGAATCTGCGCATGGTAGTTTAGTTACAAAGGGCAACTACCTTCGATATTTATGGTTATCTACATTTGAGGGCTTCACATGTTGTTCCTCTACATGGATGCCACATCCAAATGCAATGAATTTGATCAGTTAAGATTTTTGAGAAGATTCAAGTTTAATAGTACAAATACAATGCAACATATCAGACCTGTCAGCTAAGAGATACAGTATATATACATCAGAAGAATTAGAGACTGTAAAAGAGTAAATGAAAAGACATAAAATCTGAACCTTCTAGATGTATATCCCTCTTGCTCTGGTAATTTTTACGCAAAATATAAGTTAGAAACAACAAATAAACCAACGAGAAAGAAATGAAAATCCTCATTACTGTTAAACAAATAAATAATCTGAAACAAGATTTTCCAGGGCAACAATCATTTTATTGATGATTCTTCATTGCTCCACTTTTGGATTCTCTTGATTTCATGATCTTCATCTTCTTCATCAGTTAGTGTTGATGCGTGATTTTTGACACCAACTAATCGACACGTGCGTAACGTTGATTGGTCAAGAGACACACGTGATTATGGATAAAATATAGAGTAAATGCAATGAGAGCTTTTTAAAGTGGTTCGGATGCTAAAGTAGCAAGTCCTATGTCCACTGATATTTGTATTAGTATTGTGGGTCAGGTCGCAACAGCGGACTGACTTACAAATGATTAGGGAAATATAAATACAAAGGTACGAGAGAGAGAGAGAGAGAGAGAGAGAGAGAGAGAGAGAGAGAGAGAGAGAGAGAGAAAGCTAGTTCAGAATTTAAAATGGCCGAATCCCCTTAATGAAGGGGTCTTCCTCTTTTTATAGTGAGATGAGTGCAAGTAATCATCATTAAATCCATGGGTTGGTGTGAATGTCAAGAGAAAATCTGGCTTCAAGTCACATTGCCGACCTTCCAAGCTGATTTCACGGGATTTGGAGCAGGAAAATGGACACGCGGGAGCTCCATAACGTCTGGCAGGCCTGACGTGTGCTTACCGTTCTGACGGGAACAGGTCACACCCCATCACGTGATTTCCCACGTCAGCCCTTGATTTTCCAGGCGTAACAGAAGTCTCCTAGCTTTTAAGGTTTGAGGATTGAACCTTGGAAACTAAGTCATGCCGCGATTGGAGGTTCTGATAATTTCGACCTGAATGGAAGAAGCTCGGGACATGGCCTTTTGCGAACACGACCTCGCAGAAACCTTGCCCAAATGACCTGACAATCATCATCCAAGTGACCTGGCTTCATCGGCGTTTCTTACCGTGCCTTAGGGTTGGAGATTCAATGAGCTCATTTCTGCGCTGTCAAGCGCTCTGCACGTGTTAAAGCATCTGGCAGGCGCATTAAATGCGTTGTGTGCTGACCCGACGTTATTTTGACAGAGCATTAATTGCACGACACACTCGAAACGACAACCCTTATCACAACATTGAATGCGACGTGGGGCGCATTTAATGCGGAGAGAGAGAATGGCATCGTTTCGATTCTGAGGGGTGGTAACCGTCGGTTCATAGTCCATATAAAAGCCCAAATTTTTTAGATGATGCCACCAGAATCCCTTTTGCCTCGAGCGAAAAATCTTTGCAAACCGGAAGTTCTTCTTTTCCGATTGGCATCTCTCCGATATCCGAAACAAGAACCGTCCTCGGTCACGCGCCCCAGAAGGTAAGGTCTCTCTTTTTCTTTCTTTATTTTGGGGTGCAATGGCGTTGGGTTTCCTGGTGTTTCATCAGAGATGCGACGCTGACGTCGGGTTCGAGCTGTGGATGGCAGCTCGAGTTACTGTTAGGGTTTAAGGAATTTGTTTCATGCCGCCGTGTGGGGCAACATGCAATGGCTAAAATGACATTCTGTCTGTCGGTGTTGCAGACTGTGGAATGGAACCTTCAGCGTCCAAACCCGAGGAAGGAGCCGGTTCGTCTTCGCGGGATGTTCCCGCAGACGCATCCCTTGATGTCTTCTCGGTTCTCACCCGAGAAGAGTTCGAGAGGATAAAAAGACAGTTCGACGTCCGCACAGAGGTGTTCCTCGACATAACCCTCATCAATTATCCAACTATGTTTTATGCTGAACAACTTCCTTTGCAACCTTTCTCTCATTATACATAACCCTCATGAAGTCCTCATTTTCAACATTTGCATCATGCACATCAATGTCAATTGGAACTTGGGATTTCTCACTTGACTGCGCATTGTCATCCTCCACCATAAGCAAACTGTATTGCTCAAATAAAGACAACAAAGTTTTCTTCACTTTTCTCATCAACTTATCAGCTACAACAACATCATAGGACTCATTAACTACCCAGTCCGCATATTCTAACTTGTGCCTAAGATCCAGTACAGTTGTAATAAATAACATATGTTGATATTATCAACATTTGACCAATACTTATCAAATTTTATCTTCATCCGTGTAGCCATATTACGTAAGCCAAGATCATGACTTTTATACCATGTTGAAATCTTTACCAATGCTGAAAATCTCTCGCATATATGCATTACCAGTAACATAAAGAGAACCAGAGACACATAAAGTAGCATCAAAAAATACTTTCAAGAAAGGTAACAAGTAATGAGCATATTTCCAATCAGTACTCATAGGCAAACCCCGTGACCTATCACCACTAGTAAGCTCATTTACATACTTACTATCTTCAAATGCCAACAACTCAAAAGCTTTCTGAAATTTTAATGCTGCTTCCAACATCAAGTATGTAAAGTTTCACCGGGTTTCTACATCAAGAACCAAATAACTTTTACTTGCGATTTTTTCTTTCTCCACACACACCTTATCTTTGTAACCTTGATGGAGAAGACCTCACATATGTCACTGCT